GTGTGCAGTTGCCGTACTGTATTAAAGCTTTAATCTGGATAAAACCGTATATTAAAAGCTAACATAAGCAGTAGCATTTACAACAGCGTATCTAAAAGTATGAGACAACAACAAACAAAAAACATAGGACTACCATTAAAAGCCGTGCTTGCACAGGTTCTGCACGATCCTCTTCAATAATATCCTCTGCTTCTCAGTCGGGCTCAAAATGATAAGCGATATTAACGATGTCGTTGTTTACAATACAACCGGAGCACATGCCGCTGAGGTTTAAGGGCGGGACGTTTAGACGCGCACTAGAGGTGGTTTAGCCAATCACAACACACTGGGCTAGCTAACCAATCAGAGCCCATCGCCTATTTCTCAGCGCCCCTGTTCACAACTACAGCAACAGCTCCGACAATCAAGCCTAGAAAAAACCCAGTGAACGACCCCTTTTAAGCTTAGATGATGCACGTATATCTGTCTAGCAAAAGAATCTGCTTTCGGCCATCTTACCACACACGATTTCTCTCCAGCCTTGGAGGATTATTCCTTTAGCTGCACAGGCCCGGGCATACGAGGAGAACACCGTACACAGACAGTCCTCACTCTTCTCACAGGTACAGCTGGAGTATTTGCATCTCTGAAAGCACATAGACACGTTGTGTCACTGCATGCTGTGGAAAGCAGGTTAACGTTCATTACAATTTGGAAAATTAGTCATACTTTGTAGTAGCTGTCTGGATTGACACTGGCGTGACATTGGGCAAAAAGGCTCTCCTTTTTCTTCATCTGGGAACACCAGTGCTCAGCAAAGTGCTCTAAAGGCATCGTAACATATGGTGTTATAAGTACACGAGCTAACCCATCCTATACAAGTATAACACAAAGTAAATGGTCTGCCATCTATGCAAAAAGTCTCTCACCGCTGTCACTGCTGTAGGAACAGGGGTCGTCCAGTCTCTCAGTACGGTCGGGGCAGTTGGACTGCGCCTTCCAGGCGTTTGCAAAGGAAACCGCTGTACCCTCCACCACTCCCTGAGGGGTCTCCAGATCATCTGACAGCACTTTGTTAAAATTTCCACAAAGTCCTGCGCATATTACATTTTAAATATTATTACACTTTAAATAAAAAGACCCCCAGTGTTCAAGGCTATAAGGCACATCACTGGTCATGTGATGTATTCACTGCTTAATTCAAATTCAAGATTTCATATGTTGTTTTTTGAAAGTTCTCACCACAAGTCTTGCCCTGGAAGCTTTGGTCCACGGTGATGTACGCCTGCATAAGAGGCACCAGCTGTACCTGCACCTGCAGCCCAAATGTGGTCTGAAGCATGATGTGAAACGATGACGGCATGAACACCGTGAAGTCAGCTGAGAGAAAACAGTCGAAGAGGGTGAAAAATGCTTCACAAAAATATCAGCCTTCACAAACAAGCTTCAACACAAGCTTCAAATACAGAGCTCCTCTCTCTTACCTGTCATGTAAGGAAGTGAAACTATTGCATTGTGTTCAACTGTACCGTCAGCTTTAATCACTAGACGCTAATGAAGAAAGACATAGTGTCACTGTATGTACATATGCTGAGTAATTTATTAACTGTTAGAAACGGTGATATTACTTCCATTACAAGCAAGAAAAAAGTCAAATCAATAAGATTTTTTGTGTGCGAAGGAATGTACTCACATGGTTTTTGTCACTGTTAAATATCACTTCTATAGATTTCAAGCAGGTGTCAGTATTAAGGCTAACACAAGGAACAATCTGACCCAGTATGATGAACTTTGACTGCTCAAAGTCCTACAAACACACATGGAGTTTACAGAGTGTAGAATTCATTATTAAGAATTTCATATATTATTTGTAGTGTTAATTAAAATGTCATGACATGAATGAATACAAACAAATTCTAAATTCAAGTGTAAATGTCTTTACTTAATTAAATAAGGTGTAGTTAGCAACTAAAACACACTTTTGAGAGCACATAGTTGCAGTCTCCATGGAAAGTGAATTCATTCCCGTCAAAGGTGGTGAAGTGAGATCCTTCTTCTGCTGCGCACAGGCCAGGGCCGGGAATACTTGTACAGATCCAGTTTCCCTCCTTACATATGCTGAGTTATGCAATACAATTACAAACAGACACCGTAAACAACAAGCTTTAGGACTACAGTTACATTACAATGTAACAATGTGGTGTAGAGCATGTTTTAGTTAATTGGTTAATTAAAGACATGTAAAAGGAGAACAGAGTGAAATGTGTTTTATTACCATTCCTCGTTATGTTTGTGAAGAACCTCTCCTGTGCTGTAGACGCGGTCATGCTTACACTGACACTCTTCCACCGGGATGCAGCCCATGTTTGAGATTTCATCAAATACAGTTCCTAAACAGTACTTTTTTTAGTTTTAAAACTGCGTTTTGAGAAAAACTTTATAATTTTATATATCACATATCATTTTATGAAATGTGTCTTAGTGATTGTACTATAAAATCAACATTTATTCTATATATGGTTCTTAAACAAATCAGCCACATTAAATAAAATTCTGTAAATGATGGCACTAAAATTCAATTAAATATTATGAATTAGGGAATGACCTGGTGGGCAGAAGCAGCCGTCGATGTTGTGTTGCTCACACAGTGTGTTTGTGTCTTTGTGCAAGCATGTGTCCATACAGGGGCAGCCACTTTCAGAATGTACCATATTGTAGGGGCATGCCACAGCTGCATAGGGATTCATAGGAAGACATACAGTCTTTACAATGGCAATTAATGAATAATTCAAAAGAACAAGAAATAAAAGCAAATGAAAAGCTCAAGAGAGAAGAATCATGGGACATCCACCAGAGCTCAGTGGTAGTTATTACCGCAGAAGTCAGCCCTTCTCCAGGTCGGCGGAGTTCCCCCAGAGTGGGAACACTGACGTGAATATTCAGACAAAGTCGCACAGAGCGTGGAGTTGTCAGTATCTTCAGGCTGATACAAGCACATATCATTCATACAGGCCTTGATATACGGCTCAGGGTTCAAAATCTTGATACAGGAGAACCAGTCTGCATCTTTCAAAAGGTCTTCACAATCTGCCCGCTGTAGTGATACAGGTACAGTGTGTTTTTAACCCTTATCCTTAGAGGTCCACCGACCCATACAGATAGCTTTTGCAACTTACATGTTTTTCAGACTGGTCTACTAAATTCTGCTCATCATCTTCTTCAGAGGGATTTTTGCAATCCACCATTGGGTTGGGAACTTTGTGCTTGTTCCCAAACTCAATGTAGCCTACCTCTCGTTCATATCCTAATTCTTTATTGAATAAGATAAGACATGGATTAAACAAAGACACTTGACCTTCTTGGAGATATATGAAATTAGCAATACACAAGTCTTGTCTGTAATTACAAAATTATGATGAAATATGGCAGAAGTCATTCAATTATAGTCAATCAACTCACCTGATTGAATAAACTCATTATAAAGTGGAGCCCCATTGAAATCGCCACACAATCCACATGTGTGATTTGAAAATTTGGAGTCCAACTCCACCTACAACAGCACCACAGGGAAAGACAGCTTTTCAACAACCCCAGCATCATGGCATTAACGGTCAGACTTAATATTATTTTAAGGTTAGGCCTACTGTATAGTTGTATCAGTATTTGCTTCCAGTTCAGTGCACATATTACTGGCCAATATCTACTTACCATTAATCCATCATAAGATACTGTATGAATTATAAATATCTACAGTTCATTTGACTAGTTTACACTAAATTCTGTATTTATAAATGCCGGGTTAACGTTATTCATTTTGGTGTCAGATGACTGATTAGACTAACTGATTTGTACAAAAAAAAATGTTGGGGGCAGTCATGGCCTAATGGATAGAGAGTCGGACTTGTAAACCGAAGGTCGCGGGTTTGAGTCTCAGGTCTGGCTGGGATTGTAGGTGGGGGGAGTGAATATCCAGCGCTCTCTTCCACCCTCAATACCATGACTGAGGTGAGACCCTTGAGCAAGGCACCGAACCCCCAACTGCTCCCCGGGTGCCGCAGCATTGGCTGCCCGTTGTTCCAGGTGTGTGTTCACAGTGTGTGTGTGTGTGTGTGTGTGTGTGTGTGCGTGTTTGTTCACTACTCACTGCTGTGTGTGTGCACTTGGATGGGTTAAATGCAGAGCACAAACCAAACCATACTTGGCCACATGTCCTTTCCTTTCCTTGTATTCTAAAACTGACAGGCAAAAATGACTCACCATGACTGCATCCTCTTTGTTCCACATGACAGTGATGCCCATTTTTGAATGGAGTCTTATGTAAATTGTGTTCTCTTCCACAAGAATCCCTGCGACGTGCACGGGCAGCAATTTACTAAATAAAAGAAAAGATTCAAATGAAAACTAATTTACATCTTTATCTATTTTGTGTTTGCTGTGGGAGGAAGCAAGCAGCACTTCAGTTCCCCTGAATCTTACTTTTCTCCATTGACCATGACCTGGTTTGCGGTGATTTCGACGGTGATGTCATTGATGGTAACCAGGACTCTGCTGATGTTTGGGCCAGTGCTGTGTTCTGTTCTCTTCACGTGAACTGAGAACTGGCAAATGAGGCTTTGGCAGTCAGACACCAGGTTATACTCGCACATGCCTGGGAACTGATAAAAGTCCCCATCGAATGTTTTGAAGTGGAAGTTTCCCCACATGCTACAGATGTTGTTGACATGGTTACTGGCACGAACTGGAACAGAATAGCCTAAAAGAGAATGCAAAGACTTACTCCAGTGTTCACATACTGTATAGTATGTTATGTATTGAGCATGGTTTTGCTTAAACTTTTCTATCCTTTGAGATGTTTTATGAAGTTTATAGAATAATATCCACTCGTGAAAAGAAAAGTTGTTTACTCTTGTTTGTTGGTTTTAGTTTGCTTATTAATTATTTTAGTCTTTACATTACTTCTATTTATGTGACGTGTCTGTCACAATTATCCCAAGCACTTTTTAAAAATAAAATTTTGCCCATGAATTTAATGCGTTAGGTCCACGTTTCTGCCACAGGATAAAAAAAAAAAAGGTAATTGCAACTTTTTATCTCATAATTTAGACTTTTTTTCCTAGAATAAACAATTCACAATTCTGAGAGAAAGTGAGAACTGCGAGATATAAACTGACTTTTGTTCTCATCAATTCATCAGAATTGTGAAATATAAACTTGCAATTGTGATAAAAATGCCTGAATTGTGAGTTGCAATGACCTTTTTCATTCTTTTATCCCATGGCCAAAATAAGCTTCCATACCTTAAACATACATAAAGCACCAGTTTTACTTGAAATCTGTAAATAATTTTGTAACTTCATAGTTTCTTTGTGAATCAATGTGATTGGTACATCTCATAATCCTTAAACACAATATGTTTACCTGATGTTGCTGTTGTTGTTGGCCACATAGTCAAGTCACTAGAATCTCCCATTACTCCATAATCCTCCATAAAGCCTTTACACAGAGAAAGACATATACAGTCATGTTGTGTAGCTAATACTGTGAGCGTTTCTTGCAGTAACTAATCTTTTTTTTTTTTCTAACCTGCTTGTATCAGCTGTTGCCCCACCAGTAGGACGACCCATCTCAGCATCCACATCTGGGACATCCTCACAGCCCCCATGGAGAGAACAACCATCCTCAAGAGCTAATGTGAGCTACCTGCCAAAACTTGTCTTCTTATAGTGAATGCTAGTTTTCTTTGTAAGGATGTAATTTGTGATCAGAAGGAGGAGCCCAGAATATACAGTACCATAGAATTTTAAATAAATGTTTATTGGCCTATAGCTGTTTAAGACTAAACACTTTGTCATGGACAAAACTGCATTTAAACTGACAAAACTCAAACTAAACAAGGATGTGAGTCTTGATGGTGGGGAGACAACTATTTTCTAGAGAAGTTGCACAGTATAATGCAAAGTTAAACTAATATCTATTTAGTTAATGCTTGATGGGCTAGCAGGATAAATTTGCATTTATTGTACATTTAGGCCATTATTTATTATTAAAGCATTATTATTTAATATATTATTTTGTCTATTTTTGCTCCACCTATTTTAATAATTAATCACAAAGACACAGCAAGTAACATACTGAATTAAAATATTTAAGTAGAAATATTGAAATAGTATTTTCTTTTTTTAGTGCACTACAATAATCTGTTTTAAAATTTAGAAAAATCTTTCAAATGCTTTCAAAAGACTCCCCCACTACCCCGTGTACATATAAAAAGGTGCAATACTTCCACTTGCAATAAGTTCTACCAAATGTAAAAAAGTAGCCTGAACAAAGATAGTTTTAGTTTTAGTTAATAGGTTAATTAAATTCACTTAGTAGGAGTCAATTTATTGTATTATGTGAACTGAACATAAACATGTTTATGTTTCTAATAGCTGTTTTGTCGATCATACTTGGATACTCAAGTATTTGTTCAAACTTGTCCAAATGTTGTCCCAACTTTCCAAATTGACTCATCTGAACAAACAATTTTGGGCAAATTGCCAGCATGCATTGCAGCTTAAAAAATGTCATAACTTATTAAAAAATGATCATTGCTTCACAGAACATGTAATGTAGAAAATAGTCAAAGTCTTGCAAAAAATAGTCAAAGCCGGAGTTCCAGAAGACCAAATAAGACTTTATTGGAAGAAACAAAGCCGACATGCCAGCTGACCATCTGAATCTGTCTAAGTCCAGACAATTCTTTATACAATTTTGTTATCAGTCACTGTCCAATGAGCGTATTGACGATTTTTTTGGTGTGTTATTCCTGGTACTTTCTACAATTATTTATTAGTTTCCTTGGCTTAATTTTAATTGTGGATTTTTTTTGTTTTGTTATTTAACCCTCTCTAGATGACCAAAGGTCCCAGAGGCATATACATTCAGGATTTTTTTTTTCAATGAGCTGTCAAGATTTTAAAGAGCTTTGCACATCAGATACACATTATTCATTCTCGCACCATTTCCTTTTGTTCCATCTCTTGTGCTGTATCATGTGCTTCCCTTATACTTTTTATGCATTATCACAGTCACCTAGGCCATGTGGCCTACATAGTCAGCTAGGCCGCAAGGCTTCCAAAATGCATCTGGCTCTCATATATGGCAGAATGTCTTACTCAAACATGCAAAATAACTTCCTCAAATGTTATATATAAGATAAATAAAACATTTCATCATTTACTGGCTTAAAATACACTGCTGTTAGCTGTCATATGGTTAAGAGTTCATATTTTTACTAAATTAACATTTGTTGATCATCACTGTGTTTGAGATGTGTGTTGAGGTATATGCACAGCTCATTGCAACAGCTGGATTTAATATATTTTAGGGTAATATGTTTGTCTGTAGTTTGAAAAGGAAATAATGTCCATGTTATATAGTGGGGTTTGTAACAACAGCTCCTTGCATTGCTAAATGCTAACAATCTTTAGTTGTCTTGACAAGAAATTTTAGATTCAATAGACTGCCTATTACACATTAGATAAACAAACACATGAAGTATTTAAGCTGTCAGTTATTAGTTGAGTTAACTCAACAAATTGATAGTAATAGGTTGCCTTTTTCAGACTTTAGAAATCCTGTTTGGTTTTTTTCCACTTTAAGACAGGATCAAACCCATACACCATAGAGTCATTCCGTGGTTGTTAGACTTCCATCGAAAGTCAATATTCAAATATATTTCCTATAGAGTACAATATGAGATAACTGGAACAACCAGCTGATCCACTGTTGCTTATTTATGCCATCTAAAATCCACACCCTGTTTCATGCCTAATATTTCTTGCTTCTTTTGCATTACGCGCAAAGAAAGAATACGTAAGAGATGTCTTATTAGAATAATCTGAAGGATCATGTGACACTGAACACTGGAATAATGGCTACTGAAAATTCAGTTTTGCATCAAAGAAATAAATTACATTCTAAAATATGCTTTTTCAATTGCACTTAAAAATCCCATCCTGTAATTCCATCTGTAATAATTCTGTAGTTATATATATATTATAATTATACTGTTGACCCTACCTCTACCGCTTAAATCTAACCATACCACCAAACCTGCCCCTAACCTCAATAGCTGCAAAAGTGTTCAGTAATTCAACATGAAGACAATAGGCACACAATTAAAATGGAAATCTTACGTTTTATCTTAAGTAGAGAATGAACACTCTAAATTACTTCCAGCTCACAATTTGTGAGTACTTGTAAGGCATTTGGTGCTTGGTTTTATTTTAAGTGCACGCAAGTTGGTACTTTTCTGGGTATTCGAATTTTTTCTTTTAAATCAAATCCAGAAGATTGCAATTGATGCTCTGTATTATGCTTTATTGATTATAATTCATTTAATTGGAAGGAAAAGTACAATATTATATTGTAACACATATACCTTTGTCTTTTGTGCAAATGCTACACGAAATGAGGGACCAAACAGACCAATCCTACTCATGAGTCAGGTGTATTAAATATAATTACCAAGCACATACAAATTCAATATGACACACAATTGTGAGTTCAACAGTTAGGACCAGAGCATAAAACCAGTCCAGTATCCCAAAACAGAGCCCCTAGCTTGTAGTCACTTAGACCCATATACTTTGCTCAGTCTTTGTGGTAGAGGGTATAAAGTGAGAGCACAATCTTTGTTGAAACATGAAGTGTAAAAAAAACAGTACTTGAATGACCAGATGATTCCCCAGCAAAGATCAACTAGCAAAGAGATATTTGAAGTCCAGCGTTGCTTTTAAGCAGTCAGCTCTCCTAGTTCCAGGCTTCTCAGATGTTTAAGCCACCAAATAATCCATATAGGCTCAGAACACAAACCCTCTGTAGACAAACATTTAAACAAACCATAACCATGTGCTACAAACACTTATTGTTAACAAAACAAAATACCATAAACAATTACTTACGGATGAGCTTAGAACTATAAAGTTCCTCATACAGGGTACAAAGTCTCAAACCACCATGAGGTAAGCTTCTCCAAAGAAGATAGAGAATTAACTTCCTGCCATTACTCCTTCTTTGCTACCTTAAATAGGTAAATTCATGCATTACTTTACCAGAGCGCCCCCTAATGCTCAGGTGAGTAGGGACAATAGTGCTCAAAGAGGATTTCTGGTACATAAGTAACAGGAAAACTGTTACAATATCATGCATTACCAAACTTTGTAAAGAATGAAAGAAATGGCCAGAATCCCCTTTGAGAGAAAACTAAACAGATTATGCTCAGAGTTAACCATATCCATAGATTAAACCACAAAGAAAAAATAAATGGTGCAATATTTGCTTAAGTAATTTTAGCTATTAATAAACTACAGTAATCAGCTTAAATCATTTTGGTTATATTTTTTAAAATGTTTTTTTTTTAATATGACATTTAATTATGTTTAAATCAGCAGTAGTCTTTTATATTAGTCTTTTAGCCAGAGGTCTTCTGGTCTACACACTCAGTAGAAGTGCATTTGCAGCTCTTTATGTGCACGTAGTCACGAACAATCTCACTGTTGTCGGCACACTTCAGCGTCACATTTTGATGGTCGACGTTCTCCTCCTTGCAACAGGAACAGCTGTGTATCATAGCCTTTGTGTTCATTGAATACCTGTGCAGGTTTCCAAGCAAACATCAGTCAGATGAGTGTAGAATAGTTGGATATGCTATCCTAATATACCCAAAAAGGTTTGGATGCCTAAGGCACACTTAAAAATATATTCATTTTATTGGAGAGATGACAAAATATCAAACCAAAATGGTTATTGCTAACCAATGATGTTTAGAGATTTTCCCAGAGCTAAGTTCACTTTCCTGAGCCGTTTTTGTTTGGAGACCTTTCAGCAGCATGTTTGAAGTCAGTTCCCCCCACTTTTCATTGGCATATTTCTATGTGGTTTCGCAGTACTGTTTTAAAGCATTATTTCTTTTTGTTGTGGGAACTGTTAGATATGTTAGATAAACTAATCTAACATAACATTAACATACAGTGGCATAAAAAGTAGCACGTTTCCTTTAAAGTTTCCTAACATTTCCTAAAGTTATTGACTATGTTTGTGATCAATAGGTGTGCTCATATTCTCACATTGATTTGGTGTCACAGTGGCCAGTGCAGGATGTAACTTCTACATCCTCGATGGAAGTGCAATTATCAACACGCAGACGGGTGACGTTCTTCTCAAGAACACAGTTCCTGGACTTACCTGACACAATAGAGGCAGGTAAGCTTGTGACTGACTCTCAAGAGCAAAACACGCACTGCATTTTAAGTAGTGCCTATTATATTATAACAATTTAACATTTGTTAAATGATCTACATAAACAATACAGGTGAATGAACCCATTTAAAAAAATAATAATTTTAAATTGTGTCCGGATGTTTTGTATAAAGAATAGCTTACAGATCTGGCAACATCCATCTGAGTCAAATTGTAATGTTCCCTGTAAAAACGCAAATAATAGAAAAGAAAACATTTACACATTTCTCAACATATGGTCATGTCTCTCAAAACATTTACCCAATTTTCCAAAACATTTTGCACATTTTTATACTAAAAGTACATATTTAAATAGTGAAAAACTATCATTTTTACTTACAGGCTCACAGTCCTCTGGATTAAATTCAGGGCATTTTTTAATGCTCTCCATCATCACAAATGTGCCATTCACTTCACGGCAGGTAGCAGTCGTACATCTGAACTTGTAAACCTCTTGGTCCTAAACAAAAAGACAGACAGACTATATGAGGACTGAAGAATAGAGCAGATTCGTTGTCTAGTGAACTCAAAGATTGAAGAAAAGCTTAAGAATATTTTCAAAAATACCTTGAGAAAATGTCTGGTGTTGTCTGGAGCATCATAAATACAGACTCTTTGTTTACATGATCCACAGCACTCTCCTTTTTGTTTCAGATATTCAAACCCCTTGAAGTGCAAAAACAAGTTTGAATAATTCACTAATTTTGACAGACTCTAAAAAGAACCAAGGTCGAACTCACAAGAATAATTCAAATTCTTGAAAAGAACGCTCTTTGAAATCATCGTAAATAAGTTCTTAAAGTTAAGATAACCTCCAATTTGTCTTAAATCCACAAAGGTAAGATGTGTAATGCATGTATTGCATAGTTTCAAATGTTAAGCATTATCACATAACGCTAGCTGCCTATAATACATATTATTACTATAATAAAATGTACTATTGTATAGCAAGTAAATACTCCTGTGACAGATTAGATTGTTCGATTTTACACTGTTGTCACAAATTTGGAATTCTTTTTTTTATTTGCATTTGTGCCCATTTTAGTCGCAGTCTGGAGCCCTATGAGAGGCTGCACAGAGAGTACAGCTAAATGTGACAAGATTGAAAGTGGCATCAGTGTCAACTAAATCAGTAAGGAGAATCAGGATGAACGTCATTGGTCAGTGAGCCACAGTGTCACTGGTAAACAAGAACACATCATCACTACTATAAAATCATCATCATAATACTTCAGAAAGCAACAGCCATACGAAATACAAAGAAAACAAGTATGTTGTGTGGAGTTTAAGCTAGTGATTCTACTCACACGACCACAGGCAAGTGACGAGGACGAGCATTCTGGTTTTGTCTTCTCAACCACTAATGAGCCATCAACTTTACGACAGGTAACGTTTTCACATTTGTCACCGAGGGCTTCTCCAACCTAACAAAAGACAGATTTCACAAGGACTGAATAACAGAGCAGATTCTTTCTTTGGTAAACTGATAGAAGAAATGAATAATGTTTTCGAATATACCTGGAGATGATATGTTTTGTTGTCTGCTATGTAATTACACATGTTTGGTACACACATTCCACAGCACTCTCCTTCTTGTTTCACATGTTCAAAGCCCTTGAGGTGCAAAAACGAGTTTACCGTATTAATAATCAATTTTCTGCATTTTCCACTAAGATTATTACTCTACCTTGAGGAAGGGGTTGAGGAAAGAGCAAGAAGTGATAAACAGTGATTCTCAATCTTGTTTCTAAGGACCAGGAAATGGGTGTGTGAAATAAAGAAGACATCCAAAACCAGGATTGTGAACCAATTGTGTAAGAGAAGGTGAGCAGAGAGGACAGAGATGACAGGTGTGTGAAGAGGTAGGCCTACAGGACATTCTCTAAATGAGATGGTATTAACAACAGTCTCTCCTTGAGAGAGGCTATGCAGACAGTATAGCGAAATGTGTGATGTACAGTGACTTGTTTATATATGGTTGGACTTTATAATATAAAGCTTCCAAACTAAAACTTTAATTATTACCGGAGGGCAAGATGGAAAGACTTTAGTACCACATTTCACATCATGCAGTTGAGTCGTTCTATTCATTTCACAGTAACATTCCTCACAAGGATCCACAGGGATTTGAACTCCAGGCTAGAGAGAAAAAACAAGTTAGGAATGTGAACCCAACAAGCCAACCCCTCATGACTTTTTTTTCAATGACCAAAAAATTAAAAATAAATATAATAAAAGGCCAAAGCTCTTCAAATGCAGACAAACGTGGTAGAACTGACAAATTAAAAATTACAACACAGGAAAATATGGCATTACATTTAACAGTGGTGTTTGCCTTAGTGTCCTTTTAAAATTCCAGGCTTTTCCTATCATATGTAATTAGAGTAAACAAATGAACCTAGCATCTCACCTTGTATTCAGTGTTATTGTACACACAGACTTCTTTGCGCACTGGTCAGAAAAATAAATAATATTAGAAACTGCTTACTAATTTAATTCAGTAAATGCAGTTTTTACTTGTTATTTTAATAAAAAAAATATAAAATATCCATTGAATTTGATTTATAAGTTTGTAACAGCAATGATATGTGAACTATTACTCATGCTACTGGTCTAAATGAAGACGAAGGAGAAATATATCTGAGACTTACCACAGGGTGGACAGCAACTATTATTGGTCATAGTTGCTGCTAATTCAAATCCCACATCACATTTCTTTTGAAAACACAGCTCGAGATCACACACTAAATGGGTAGAGATAAAACAGCAAAAAAGGTGGATCATCATCAAACTAGATTATTTTTGTTATCAAGCTGTCTAAATGCCTTGCAAGTGGTTGTCTGGTTCAAATTATTTATCTTCTTTATTATGACGTACTATGTCAGAAGTACTTACAAGTTTTATACATTCAATCATAATTACTTAAAAACTTTTTTCATTTTGACTAACCACAGGTTGGACAGCAGCTTTTAATTGTTGATTTGTAATCATGGCCACATGGTTTTATGGTAGGACACATAATAGGTTCTTTCACAATACCAAAGCTCTCATTGGAGCAGTGGTATTTGGTACAGTTAAAGGTCCATGTTTGCCCAGGCTACAAAAGAAGAAGATCATTAGTGAAAGTTAGTAAATGCTAGTTAGTTTTGGTCATGAACACAAGTCTGCATGTTCAATCCTATGATGGAGTAGGACCCTATTTACTTAACAAAGAAGTTACTAAAACCACAATCCTACATTTCATGTTGCTTTTGAAGGAAAATGTCATTCAGAATAGAGACATACCAATCTAGGTAATCCATCAGGGCCAATGCAATCTACAATGAGGGATTGATACAAAATCAACAAAAGAATGTCATCAGAGCATTTATCTAACAAAGAGTAAATGAAGTAACATTTCTTACCGCAGTTAGGTGTACATTTATCTATCGTTGAACTAACTAGATATGTGTTGTCAGGACAGAAACAACCTTCCATGAATGTTTTTTGACAATTTTTGCCTTGGCAATTGTTCTCCACAAACTCATCATTGTATCTGGTATTTAAATGCAATAGAAGACTGTTACATAGCGTAATATCTGGAGCATTCAGTATTACATTTACTCCACACAAAGATGATGTTATGTCATGACTAGAGATTAGACCATTACCTTGTACTGCAGGTTTTTTCTGTTTTAGGTCCACATGCCTTGTACACTTTGTGACTTGGGCACTTGTATTCTGTTATGGAAACCAACAATGAATGTGTGCAACGTGCAACTGTATTAGGTATGTCTACCATGTCAACATAATGACTTGCCACAGCTGAGGAGTATTAAAGTGAAATATTAAAATGATATGATGCCTTAAAAAAATACTGAAATTCTCTGCTATAAAGTACTGCAATGGTGGGCTAATTCTGCTGGCTTACCACATAAATGTTAATGAGTTCTGCTGACCCCGCCCCTCTCTTCCTAGCTGCTCTCTGAGGGACTGTTTACTTTAGCCGCATTCATAGTGAAACTTGCTAATTAGCACATTATTAGGAAAGGCGATTTGCAAAGATTCGTTAAAAAAACCTTACACTCACTTCTTCAGTAGGTGAAGCTGGATCACGAATGATTCGTGCGAACATAGACGCATTTATGTAGATCGGGGGCGCATTCCCTTCAAAAACAAATGTAATCCACTGCGAGTTCAGCGGCTCAGATGTCGGGAGTAAATGACGACTGCTATGCAGTCTTAAGTGAATAAAAATAAACTCACACTTCTCCGTCCATGATGATGTCATTGTTGGTGAGTTCAATGACTGTCCCCTGCAGATTTATTATGATTTTGCTGAAAATGATTGAGCCATTTACAGTCTCTCTTTGCATTTGGATGTTAAAATCAGATGTTCTGCTGTGACACATCACCGCCAGAATGTGGTTGCATGTGTCTGGCACTTGAAAGAAATGACCATCGAAGGTCTTGAAGTGGAAATTTCCCCATGTGCTGCAGATCGTGGACTGATGATCAGGATTTGGTTCTGCTAAACCAAGAGAGAGAATAGATATTAATAATATATCCGTATCTAGCACTGAAAAAGCAGTTTGAATTATGAAAAAAAAGCTATGACTTCATACCTCTAGTTACCATCACAGTTTTCATGCTGGGAGGGAACACTTAAAAAGAAGACGAGGAAGAGTTGAATCATGTTTTTAAGACAAAATGAAGGCATTTATTGTACAAGACAATGTGTAGGTCCATTAAAATATTTATTTAAAAAAAATTGAGATGTCAAGATATGTGTTAATTATTATTATTTTTAAAATAATTATAACATTTTAATTACTTTAATCAATCCAATTAGTACTGGGGCTAAATGTTTAATTATGTTAGGTGCAATTAACAAAGTAAACCAAATTAATGTGGACTAAACATGTAGTTTACTGACTTTTAAATAATATTTGTGTAATGGTGCCTTTTAAACTTTTATTATTAGTCTAATAAATACACACGTTCCCCTAAATTTATCCAAGAAATGAATGTGCTACTTTCCCCAGCACTACAATCAATAAAAAAGTCATTACATTGACTCCCCTAATTAATACCTGTAAGTTACACACAACACATAAAAAGGAAATATTTACCAGCTGCTGTTGTCATGAAGTCCACTACAGAATCTGTTATGCCTTTCATTTGATTTCCCATATAGTCTATAAACATAAAAAACAGAGATACACATTTACAATCATTTTTAGTATTGCGAGATGAGAACAGAACTGATCTAATTTTTTAGTCAGCTAACCTGCTTGTACCGACTGCAGCCCCATCAGTAGGACGACCCATCTCAGCATGCACATCTGGGACATCCTCACAGCCCCCATGGAGAGAACAACCATCCTCAAGAGCTAATGGGAGCTACCTGTCAGCACTTGATCTTTTATAGTGAATATTAGATTTCTTTGGAAGAATGTAATTAGAGATCACAAGGTGGAACCTATTATGCATTACCATGGGATTCTATCTTTTAATCAAGGAAATGTTTAATGTCCTATAGCTGTGTTTGAGTTTAAGCAATGCTTATGCAAACCTTGGTGGGGAGAAATACTATTTGTGTTATCATTTCAAATGAAACATACAGTAGTTGCGCAGTATGAAGCACAGTAAACTATTCAATAAATATCTACCTTTTCAGTAACTGTCCCTGGTTCTGGGTTAGCAAGGTATTTGCATTTACTGTAAAGAGACCCTGTTATGCATTAAGACTATATTTCTATGTCTATATTTCACTCTACAAATGAAAATAATTTCATACAAAGCCAAAGCATGATCAACCGTTGCATGTTGCAGAACAACACACAGAGTGGCATGCTGTCTGGAATGCCACAAACACTGACAAGCGCATTTATATAAAACGTGAAATGTTCCAGTATTGCTGGACTTTTGAAATGCTGGTCAGCCAATCAATGTTGTATTACCGTAAATCGAGTCAGCATGCACTGGCCTTCAATGGTACATGTACACATACTTTTCCATTGGCCTGCGCATAAAAATACATAACTTGCTGCCTTTATAATTCCTGTTTTGTGTGCCATTTTAAACATAGGATCAAATCAATTAACTTTAGGATTAAATCTGATCAAATTTGCGATTTATAAATGAGATCCTAGGCTTCATTTCTCCTACTGCACCACATCGTCACCCCATAGTTGATAGACCACTTGATAGACTTCCACCGAAAGTCAATATTTAAATATATAAGATATTTCTGATTGAATGCAATATCATGTAAGATGAATAATCAGCTGATCCACTGCTGCTTTTCTAATGCTTTCTGTTTAATTATTTACTCTCATGTTAAATCCATATATACTGTGTCATACCTAATGTTCCTTGTTTCTGTTGCATTGCATGCGAAAAAATGTCTGGCAAAGAACTTACACTGTTAGACTTTGCTGTAATTTAACAGTTACGTACCGCAAAAAAGCCCAGTAAACTACCATATATGTGTTTTACGGTTAACTACTGTAATATGCACTGCATCATGGGTATTTTTATGCCATTTACAGTAATTTACTGTATATGGGAATCTGCGGTATTTACTGTTTGCTCAAAAGCAGTAGTGCTACTGTAAATTGTTCTGCTGATGAAAAACATGAATCTGCATTCTCAATTTAATGTCTGGGTAAGCACAAGTGTGGTTGGTGAAATATATTTTTAAAATGATTAAAAAATAAAATATATAAACTTTGCTTACACCCCACAAAATTTACATTTTATTCGCGCGCAAAGCCCGCGCAATAACCTGGCAGAGGTTAAATAAACTGAGGCTTGTGTCGGGTGGGCGCATAACGGACTTCCCCTCTGAGTGAACCGCCAGACGTCAGCTGCGAGTTTTCCTGTGGTAAGTAGCCTACTTTTCACTTACTTTTAAAACGTAAACCATTACCAATATCAATGACATTTAAAAATATGAAAAAAGTAACGTTAAATATAAAATCTAATTATAGGCTATTACTAGAACAGTCTGAGGGAAATGTTCGTTTTCCTCAAAAACTGCGGCTTTCATGAAACTCATTAAATTGTCCTGCAACTGACTGACTGTCTTTTCCAGTACAGATGTCTAGTATTTACACGAACAATGATTTTTCGACTTTTTAACTGCTAGTTATGGTATATTTTACTCGTCAGTTAAATGAATACCATTAAATGTGTGACGTCATTTTAAATAGCACGAGCGCTCTCTCTCTCTCTCTCTCTCTCTCTTGCGTGCGCGTTCTCTCTCGCGCTCTCTAAATAAATAAATAAAAAATTTACGCCAGTGCAGAGAAAAAATATATATATTCAAGTAAAATTATAATCAATTAATTCAAGAAAGAAAATGCATTCTTTATTATGGCTTCTTGTTTGTTAATAGAAGCAAGGTCTCATCAAAGTCAGT